CACTAATAATACACGTTGAAAGACCGCTGGCAGAACCAAAAGGGCATTCCAGTTGGCATTGCACACTTAGAAGACCCACGCTGGGTCAGTAAGAGACGTGATCGTCGACACACGCCTCATCGATTTTCGCCCCCGTCTCCGTGCCTACTATCGGTCTACTTTTCTTGGCAGATAAATCATCTCCAGAGGCGGGTCTTCTCTTTTTCCTTGGTGGATCGCTTTACTAAAGCAGCCTGAAGAACTGCAAGACACGCAGACTTCCTACAAAACGAAGGCGAAAGAGCACAAATTAAGGTACACCGCACTGAACACTTCCAAGGATATTATTGCCAAGTACGAGATTTTCATGGCTTGTGCTGCAGAGGGCTTAGACGTTAGCTGTAATGCTATAAAGAGAGAAAATGGTTTTAGTTTCTCTTGAAAAATATTACAGTGAAGAAATACACCTAGCAATGACACACAAATAAACTTCCCATCAACCCAATCCCACCAAAAAAGAAGTTATCACAATTTCAATTTACTCTCCAAAACCACTCATAAAATCATCTGAGCTTCCTGCTTCTCTTACATGTCAATTGTTCCTTCAAAAGGCACTGCAGCTATCTCTCCTTTCTGTATTTGTGAGGCAACGAGATCTCAACCAGTAACCTTGACTCTAAAACACATACAAGCACGTCAGTCCCACACTCTTAAGTTCACGGGATACCTGATTTAAAAAAGAAAAAACAAACAGGATTTGATTTTGGGGGCAGAAGCCTGATACGACCTTGAGCAAAATTCCACAATTATTTTCTTTTGTTTCTGCCACTGAAAGATTCTGCCATTTGCGGTCAGGACGCATACTTTCACTGGTAGAAGATATCAACATGTAGGAACAACAGACAATAAATCACAACCTCATCAAGCACTGACTGAGACCTTACGTGACCGGCCTGCTCTGAAACTTTGCATGCACTGACTCAAGTAAGCTCACAGCAAGCCATGAAGAAAAAGAATCCGACTGCGCTTATGCAGATAAGAAACAAGGCAGAGGAGCCGGGTTAGGGAGTGGTAAAACTGAGATTCAAACCCAGGCAGTCTTGCTTGACTGTCTTAAACTGATAAATTACAAGACAATTAAAATGCACCATCATGGCACAAGTGTCGTGAGATATTAAGTCATTTGGGTCCCACAATGACCCTGAACAACAGACAAGACAAACATAATTATTGCTACTTAACAGTCGGGAAGAACCAAGGCTGAGGCGTTCAAGGGACCTTGGAGGTCTCAGGAGGAAGAAGGGTGATCTGGCGCCGTTTCTCCCTGCCTCGGCACCTGCTGGACGCCTGGCCCAGGGAGCGCGTGGACAGGACAGGGCCGGGCGCTGGGCTTGAAGGATCTGCAGTCAGCGTCAACCAGCGAGTCCAGCTCTAACCCGCCTACGCCGTTCCGTCCACCCCTCACCACCTGGGCTCCTTTCACCATCTGAAGAATAAGAACGGTGACATCTACCTCCTACGACTTTCATGAGGACAACACATCCATTTGGCAAGTGCTTGGGTGCCGGGGCTGTGCTTAGGGGCTGGGGACACAAACGGTCTGACCAGCACAGCGACAAGTGCCAGCCCCGCGTCACTGGGCTCGAACGACACAGCTCTCTGTCACGTGGGTATGGCTGGCGTCTCGTTTCACAAGCAAGGATGTGAGGCAGACAGGACTCGAAGTCACAGCTGGAAGCGGCGTGCGGAGCTGAGTGCGAATCCAAGCAGCCGCGGCAGGGCCCCAGCTCTGGGCCACCATTGCTGCCCTCCTCTAGGGGCCCTGAAATTGGGACACTGTGGAGGGCACAGAACTAAGGACACGGACTGGGGAGTGTCCAGGGCTAAGACAGGGAAAACCTGGGCAGGGAGAAGCCCAGGAGAGCGTAATGAATCACCGAGAGGCCGAAGGGAGAGAGCGCTTCAGGAAGAGAGGGCTCGAGGGCAGCCCGAGGTGGAGGCAGTGGAGGAGTGAGGCACACGCCGGCTCTGAAGGCAGGGGCCTGTCACACTAGCCATGGTCACAACCTTGCCAAGAGCAATGCTGGGGGCTGGAATCGTAAATCCCCGTTCATATTGAGGCTGCTGAGTTCCTAGAGTGACTTGCTTCAGGAAACCAGCCAAACGCACCTCCTCTGTTACAAATCAGGAGAACAGCCTCGATGAGGCTCCCACCCAGGGCCTGGTACCCGACGGCGTGTGGGCTCAAGGCCCTGCTCGCCCCTTCGGCACAGACCAGAGCCCGACAGGTCTAAATCGAGGACCTGCAGTCCCCTTTCCTGGGGCCGCCCACACCCTGTCCTCCGAAGGTGGGAACAGAGGGTTCTTCAGAGACACAAGGCACCCCCTCTCTTCTCCCCCCCTGCGTACTTGCAGTGACCAAATGCTGCCCTACCACCCAACCCTATTCAGTGTCCCTGAAAAACAGCGCCCAGTTGCAAACAAGAAAGCATGCTACAAGGTCCAAAGAATTGCAGGCGAGCCAAGCTTGTGGAGACTGCCGGCATGCAAGATTTATTCTCATCTATGAATGCCTTGGGGTGGGCTTGCGTCGCAGGCCGCCACACTGCCAGCGATGGAAAGCACCCTGCATCTCGAGGCTGGCTTCTCCCTCCTTGGATGTGCACGCGTAAAAGAAGACATTTTATTCCACAGCAGTCAGGGTTTGGTTCTGAGCACCTGGTCTGGCAGCAGCCGCCCTTTCCACAAACATTTGCAGAACACAGAGGAAAATGCACTTTATCTCCTCAGTCCGTGGGAAGAGGAAGACTGTTTAAATAATGTTTCACCATATTCCCAGAAAATGTGGGTTCATTGGCTCCTCTACCACCTGCCTCTGCATGGGAACACTGCTATAACGCCTGGCTTGCACCGAATCCTGCCTGTCAAGAGTGCATGCTTTTGGTAAACATACAAACATAAGTGAACCAACGTTTTCAACTTTGTCTCGTTTTTTTTTATTGACGAATGCTTTCTGTTAAAAGTTTCACAAATCACTTTTTTTGTGTCTGGGTAAAACTATCCATATCTTGAAACCCAAACTTCCCAGATCTGGCAATTTACTCTTGCATTTATTCAGAATTTTATCTCCTAACTAAGAAGCATGACTTTTTTTTTGAGATCTCTCCACTCTAATCATCCATCAGCGTAGTGAGAGACTGTGAAGGGACCAGTCTTCACAGAAAAACCGTTCCCCTGCCGGACGTCCAGCCCAGCCCAGGCTCTAAAATAAAATAATGATTTGGATATAAAATCTGAGTATACACATTTTTATAGCCCTTATTTATATATAAATTACCCAGTTATGTATATAAGCATTTTCTAAATATACTTGTTGTTCATATGGTATATATAAGATATAATAAAAATCACACACAGTCATCCCTAGTATACTCAGGAGACTGGTTCTGGAACCCTGGCGACACTCAAATCCGCCCCTATTCAAGTCCCCCAGCTGGCCCTTCAGGACACGCATATAGGCACAGTCGGCACCCCACCAATACCAGACTTTCCTGCCACATTTTGGTTGAAAAAAAGCCCCCATATAAGCGAAACCTCACAGGTCAAACCTGTGTTGTCCAAGGGTCAACTGTATGACTCTTTTTACCAAACATTTATTCATGACCTAGACATTAACCAGATCATCAGTATACGCCTCGGATTAGAGATTCTGGTTTTAACACCAAAAAAAGAACATGGTTATAGGGTGTTAAATGACTCAAACTGCTAACCACCAGTTTTGTATTTCTTCTGTAAAACGTAGCCTTACTACCTGAAAACAAGGTCGATACTGGCCAAGGGTTCAAACCGATAAGCTCCAATCCTGGGCTTAGACATTTCTATCTCAGCTCAAAACCCACAACTGGTCCACAGCCTGGAGAACTATGTATGGCACTATAATATTTGAATTTCAAAATGCTCTACATTTAAAAAAAAGAACCAGGCTGGGCGCGGTGGCTCACGCCTGTAATCCTAGCACTCTGGGAGGCTGAGGCGAGTGGATCACTCAAGGTCAGGAGTTCAAAACCAGCCTGAGCAAGAGTGAGACCCCCGTCTCTACTAAAAGTAGAAAGAAATTAATTGGACAACTAAAAATACATAGAAAAAAATAGCCAGGCATGGTGGCGCATGCCTGTAGTCCCAATACGCTGCGCTTTCCAGCACGACTGTTAACGTCATCTCTGCCTTATGCCTGACTTTCAATCAATTCTGAACCAATTTGGAGAAGAGGGTAGGGGAGAGCCCTAAATCTCAACAGCCTCTACGCAGTATAGTATGGACAGTATACCATCACTAATGCTAAACAGGAAAAAATATGGCTATAAACATATACATTGCATAAAAATGTCAGAAGGAACCAACACTAAACCCCACACTGGGGGAAAGCAGTGGGTTGGGAGGCATGAAGAACGACTTCACTTTCCATCACATTTACTTTAATGCTAGTCAATATTCTCCAACCAAGCATTGCTATGGCCTGAATGTGTGCCCTTCCCAAATTCAAATTGTGAAATCTAATCTCCAATGTGTTGTATTAAGAAGTAGGGCCTTTGGGAGTGGACTAGGTCTTGAGGCCCTGTGAATGGAAGTGGCCTCATGAAAGAGCCTGCAGGAGCCACGTGGCCTTCTAACTAGTGAGGATGCAGCAAGATGTGCCATCAGTGGGTAAAAGACCTTGGCCAGACACAAGATCTTGCTGGTGCCTAGACTTCTCAGGCTCAGAACCACGAGCAACACATTTCCACTGTTTTCAATGTTATGGAACAGTTTCAGTAGGATAGGTCCAGTTCTTTGTTGTAGGTCTGTAGAATTTAGCTGTGAATGCACCTGGTCCTGGGCTTTTTTCGTTGTTGTTGGAAGGATTGTTATTGCTGATTCAATCTTACTACCTGTTACTGGTCTATCTGTTCAGGATTTCTATTTCTTCAGGCTTGGGAGGTTACATGTTTCCAAAATCTATCCATCGTCTCTAGATTTTTTTAGTTGGTGTGCATACAGATGTTCACAGTAGTCACAGGTGACCTTTTGTGAGTCCTCCCTAACACACTCTATGATACCTAACACACTCCTGATACCAAAGCCAGGAAAGGATACACAAAAAAAGAAAGCAACAGACCAATTCCCTATGAACACAGATGTAAAAATCCTCAACAAAATACTAAAAAACCGAATCCAACAAAAAAATAATTCACCACAATCAAGTGAGTTTCATCCCAGGGATGCAAGGATGGTTCAACTATGCAAATCAATAATGTGATTCACCACATAAACAGAATTAAAAACAAAAAAGGTAGATCATCTCAAAAGATGCAGAAAAACCATTCGATAAAATCCAGTAGCCCTTCATGATAAAAACACTTAACAAACTAGGCAATAGAGGGACATACCCTAAATAATAAAAGCCATATAACACAGATCCACAGCCAACACCACACTGAATGGGAAAAGGTGAAAGCATTCCCTCTAAGAACTGGAACAAGACAAGGATGTCTACTTCTCCATTCTTTCCAACATAGCACTGGAAGTCCCAGCCATTTAACATTTATGGAATACTTTTCAAACTGCATTACTGTTGCACCTTTTTAGTATAAACTAAATACTTTAGCAGAGAAATAAATGATATCTTGAAAACATTAGAGAAATCCCTAGCCCTTTGAAGGGGTTAAAGTGCTCTATCATAAACCAGAGCCCAGAAAAGATTTCCTACTGGGAAGGAGTTGTAACACGCTGCCTTCACTACACTCTGAAAAACAACCTCACCAAGTCACAACTTGCTAATGGAGTGTATCATTACATAACAAAACAGAGCATTCGTGCGTGACTTGATTTCTCTTGCACAGTTTCATATTAAGAAGTTTACTTAAAACTAAACTGTGTTAGATGTACAGATACCTGTTGGTGATCGTCTTGGCCAACGTCTTCTGTTAGATTCTGCAAGAAATATGTTCATTGTTACCAAGGAAACACATGCCATACTCAAGTTTTAAAATTCAGCATTCTCATAAGCAACTGGTATCTTCATATCTAATTTGTTAAATCTAAATTTTTAGCAAATACAGTTACACAAATGACTTACTTCAAATAGTTGGTAATTTTTGTCTTAAAAGATTGCTTATAGCTTATTAAGGGTGTGATAGATCTTATGAATATTTGCCAGTGTTGAGAGATGAGAGTTCAGCTGAAAGTCTTGGAAAGAAAAGGAGAAAATTCAGTGTCATTTATTTCCAGTACTGCAAAAAGACAAAAAAAAAAAAAGTTCAGAAGTGAACATAAATGTTTAGACACAATTGAATAATACCTCAATTAACTTGATACTTACTAAATAAAAAACAACATGCAATTACTGACCTATCTCCTAGAAATAAGTCAGACAATAAAGTTAAATCCCATCCCAATGTTAAAAGTTCATGAAATTTTCATGTGAACATCCAAGGTAAAAAAATAATCCAGTAGTTTGTAAAAGCCTGCCAGCAGTGAACTTGAACTTAATAGAAAAATATCAATAATGCTAGCAAATTAACAAATCACACGAGTAGAAGGCAGGTCTCCAATGTAACATGTCCACTTTTCCCTCCCTTCTCCAGAATTATTGGTACATAAGCAAGTTCGTGGCAAGAAATGATAGAAAAGCATCCCAAGGTTTAGTACTTGACAATGTATTGTCACTTATGCAACAGAGAAAACTAAAAAAATCTAAGCCCCCCCTCTCCCGTTAAACAAAACAATCAAAGAACATCCTATCTTGCAACCTCCAAGTCTGAGATGCCAGAGCCCAACCATACAGCTGACAGAGCTCCGTGCAAACACTGCAATACTAAACGGTGCCACAGCACCAGAGGCAGAAGCAGAAATCACACTCCTGAAGAAACACCACCACACCAACGAGCGAATCCACACACCATCCCTAATCACTCCAGAATCGCACACTGAGTCATAGACAGAAGACAAATGAGGCTCCTCCAGTTTTGCATCCTGCACGATATAAAACTGTAAGTTAACCTGGTACGCTTTGAATCTCTAATTTTAAATGTTTTCTATACAGTTTATGCTTGCATACATATTGGGCTATACAAATCCAAGTTGAAAGTTTATGAGTAATTTCACATCTGAATAAACATCACTAGAAGTATTTTCATAACATACATTAAATTCGTTGTTTAACCAACGATTACATTCGTTGTTTTTTTTTTTTTCTTTCCTATCATAAAGCAAAGCTTAGGATGAGCAGAACCCTGAAAAGATACTGTAACTCTCCAACTTAATCTGTTCAGATTTAAAAAAAAAAAAGGAAGAGGAGGAGGGGAAAAAAGCACCCTTCACTAGAACGTTTTATTTGGGACATGTATCAGATCCAAAGAACAGACCCAAAGAGCAGGGGCTACAAGGGAAGTTGTACCGCTGGGGCTGGCCCTCTGGGCAGCTACTCTGAATCCTGAAAGCAAGCTGACCCTTGCCCACACTTAGAACAGCTTTACTGCAGCCTCTCAAGCCAGCTGGCAATCCAGCCTGGGCAGGCCCGCAGGGGCAGAGGGGTGGGCAGGAGCAGAGCCCCTGATATTCACATGCCACCATGGGGAGAAGCAGGCCACACTGCACATGTGCACCACGCTCCCTGCGTGTCTGGCAGCCAGTGGTCTCAAACCACAGGCCAACAGCCATCTAGAATGGCCAAAGAACCCAGCATTTCTGGCTGAGACACAGCCAGAGCAGGGCCTCCCGGTTTAGACACACGTTACTGGGTTTGCATCTGAACAGTGTGGCCAAGCTTAAGGTCCATGATGGCAGTGTGACTCAGAACCTGGTTTTCCATCTTAATTCATTCAGTGCACAGAAAAGGCTTAAAAAAGCATCTGGGGCCATGTGAGTTTGTATGTATGTGTACTGTGTATTGTTGTGCTTATTTACTTGTGTTCACATTTAATAAACCATGGATGGGGGGTCTAAACCAGATCCCTCTCAGGACCCTCTCAGGACCAGCAGAGGCTGTGAGGAGCCTCTCAACATCAACTCTCGCAGCCTCCATCCTCTACAGCGAGCCAGAACTCCTTTTTATTACTCTTAACTAAAATAGGAAGATGAATGATACATTCCATTCTCACCTTGAAATATAAGTTAACTCCTGTCCCCCCCCCCCAAAAAAAACAAAAACACACACTGAGAAAAACTTTAAGCTCTCGATTCTCTTCCTCAGGGAGGCGACACAGAATTGGGAGAGTAAGAGCTGGCCAACACGTCACTCAGGCAGAGGTCTCTCCTACACCCCACGCTACACTTTCGTCATTTCGCCACCCTGCTGATTCAACTGCCAAAATCCACACGAGAGAATCTAAATGAAATGAAACTGATCGATCTTTCTCCCTTTATATGAATACAGAAGTAGTAGAAAAGATTAAAAAAAAACCAAGTTGTTTCACGTTGAAATGGCTGGGCCCAAACCAAACTTCTTTCACCAGCCCGTTCTGCAAAACCCCTTCTTCCCGTCCCAACACTCTTCCTGCTGCTCTCCTACTCGTGGTCAGTGTGCACAGCGCACAAGCCGCGCAACACACACACACACACACACACACAACACACACACACACACACAACACCACAGTCCCTGTCAAAATCCCACTCCTGCTTCACAACCTGGCCTCTGGAATCTAAAGCTCGGTTCAAAGTTCAGGTCTGCCAGTTATTAACCTAAATCTCAGCTTCCTCATCTGTAAAATAAGGATAAGAAATTCTCAGTTCATAATGTTCTTGTAAGGCTGAAAACAGGATCCAATGCCCGGAGGTGCCAGACACCCATGACAACGCCTGGAGCGCACGTGCCCAGGACATGACATGCTCGAGGAATGACATCAGTTCCCACTACACCTCGCTTATGCCATTCTCCGTGCCACAGGGCCATTTAAAACAGTCTCTCACTCTCCCTGGGTCCACTCTAGCTCACATCAAGACCCAAAGTCAGAGCTCCTCTGCCATCGAGGCATGTGGCCTGGCACACCTGTAAGCCCGTGTGGCACTGCTATGTTCCTATGCTACGAAGTGATGCTATAATGATTGCAGGTAATCTCAACACACTGAGAAAAATACAGGTGTGTTTAAGACCAGAGACTATATATTAGGTTTCACTTTACTAAATGCAGCGAGAAAAAAAGGGTCCATTTCACAAATCACGTGTCAGAAATTATCCATTTCTATGTCCAGCCTACCCCCACACGCATTGCTTCACCAAAAAGAGCAAAAAGAAAGCTATGAAACCAGTAGCAGGAATAATTCTCTTTCGTTTCACCAATGTAAGAGAATTAAGGAGAAGACATGAACTGGGGCAGGGGAGGGAGAGACAAAATGGCATTAAAAGATAAATTCACAAAGGTTAACATATATTGGATTTACGGTTAATCTGTTCAGTGCTAACGGCAATAATAGACCTTGAATCGAAAATAGATTTCACATCCTTAAGGCACAGATGTAAGGGTAAAGATCAAAATCTTTACCAAGAACCGTATTTCGGAAAGCACTAACTGATTCATAAAATCTCTCCTGCTCGTATTTCAATTCCAAGGATATAATCTAGGTTAAGTCGGCGGCATTCCACGATCAATGGCTCTCCACAGTAAAGTAGGTGTGAGTTGACTCTCCTGTGTGACATGGAAACCTATATTCTGATATCAAAAGACACCACTCTAGCTCGCAAAAGGCACGTCTGCTTAATAAAAGCCCGCCTAAATTATCTTCTGGATATCCTAAAACTATACGAAAATGCTGACTGGGCACAAACTTGCCTGGGGTTTTTTGTTTAACACTATTGTTATGACCCTAATGCAATATGACAGAAAAAGTGACACGCACAACCTAGTACAAGAACCCCCAAATTTCATAGGCAGAGACATCCAATTTAAGAGATAAAACATACATATAATAGTTCAGAACATACATATATATAACCAAAATCATTTAAAGTTACAGCCCTACCAGTTACATCATTCAATATGAGAGAGAAGTACAGATATAATATATATAAAAAGCAAAGCTTTCTTTATACCATCAATTTTTAGTCACCTGTTATATATAACGGGAGAAGACTTCCAACTATAAACAGCAATAAAAAGCAATAATACCTGTAAGAATAAACTTCATTATGTACAGATAAATAAAAGACGATAATATATATAGACACATTATATTTGGGGATGGAAAGACCCCCATTGTTAAGCAATCCTTCTTCCCCTCACTAACTACAAAGAATGCAATCAAATTCTCATTTTTGCCTGTCCCCCAGTTCTCCTATCAAAAAGAAAGGTAGGGAAAAGGAAGGAAGGTCAGGCAAGCTATGGCAGATTATGCCTAAAGTTCATCTGGAAGAATAAATGTGCTAGACTTGCAGAAACTATTGAAAAGAAGAATGACGGAAGAACTTTGCCTCCTATCAGAATATCAATACACAGTACAAAGAAGAAGATGGTAAACTTTGTGAAAGGGACCGGACTATAAATATTTCTAGCTCTCTGGGCTAACAATCTCTGTTGCGAATCACACTGCCTTGTAGCTCCAAAGCAGCCACAAGCAATACCATAAATAAATGTGGCTTGCTTTCCAATAAAGCCTTATTTATAAAAACTAAATTTTTTTTATCCAGCTTGCTCTTTTAATAATTTAACTACACGTTATTCTTAATAAACGTGCCTACTTAGCACTCCACTGTCTTTTTTTTTTTTTCCCAATTTTTTTGCTATGTGGTCCTCAGGTAGAGTCTGTGTCAGGATTAATTTCCCATAAGACACATAAACTGTGTTTCCCAATTTCTAGTCATCCCAAGCAAGAGGTCTACACAATTAGAGAATTTTCTGACTCTTCCAAACTTCACACAAATGCATGTTCCATACAAAAATCTCACAAAATATTCATTCTAGTGAGCTTGTATCATTACCTTATTTCACTAATAACATTTTACATGGTTCATTCTGCCACTTCAGTGTTTATTAAGCTATTTCACCTCACTTTTCACTCAACGTGTCACAAAAATATAGCAATTTAAGTTGACAGATTGTCTTTTAAGACATCTATATTTTTATTTCATTTTCTTGAATGCTACATTGGACTACTTTGCTTAAGTGAAACTTAGTTTTTTCTACATGCACAAATTTTTATCCTATTATTTAAGATAAAAATTTTTCTTTCTCAATCTAAATAATTTTGACTTCTGACATTTACCCTCTTCCTCGCTCATTTTTTTGTCCGTTAGGACTTTTTTAATTCACTCCCTCTATTTTTGGGCTTCTCCGGAAATACTAATTCTCTCTGTCTTTTTCCCTTCGGTAGGGGGAAGACTGAAGCACAAAAGGAAAGTATTAGGGGGGCGCAGAGCAGGAGGATACCCGGGCTCTTTTGACTCAGGTCTGACTCTTCCGTCTGCAGTGGTTGTAGGCACTACTGCTAGGCTAACACAGAGAAGCACTGCAGGCTGGGTGCGGTGGCTTACTCTTGTGATTCTAGCACTCTGGCCAGAGCAAGAGCATCTCTACAAAAAAAAAAAAAAAAAAAAAATAGAAAAATTAGCCAGGTGTGATGGCACGTGCCCACAGTCCCAGCTACTTGGGAGGCTGAAGCAGGAGGATCGCTTGAGTCCAAGAGTTGGAGGTTGCAGTGAATGGTGATGACTCTAGCTGGGGCTACAGAGTGTGTCTCAAAAAAATAAAAAACAAGGAAGCACTACAAGTGATTAAACTTTTTCAGACTTTCAGACATCAGAGATTTTAAGTTGTTTAATCTTTAAAGTATGTATGCTCTGTCAGGCACGAGAATCACAAACAATGCTGTGGCAAGGTGGGGAAATGTTAATGAAATGGGCCACTCTAAGAAATGACTAACACTCATCGACACTGGGCACTTAAGAGGTGGCAGGCAGTGCACCAGCATGTCATACACCAAACATCACACCTATGCATCGTCACCAAAGGGAAAAACGGGAAGGCATGAGGCCAAATGCACTCTCCCCTTTCATCTTCCTTAATTATAACTTAGTTATTAAATTGCCACGTTTCAGGTTAAATATTTAGATGTGAAATTACTATAGTAACAACACTCATTTAAATCAAAAGTTCAAAATTAACTACATAATGTACAGAATTCAAAACTTAGATGTTTTATTACCGCAGCTGAAAGACAACCTCAGGGGTGTACAGATGCAAAATTCAATTTTAAAAATTAAAACTACACTAATTCTTAAGTCTTAAAAAATCCACAAAACCTGCCATCATATTGTTTCAGAATCAAAGAGAAATGTGCTTTTTTTCTTAACTATTAAAAGTGGCCCTAAAAAATTTATTTCAGTATTACTCTTAGTAGCTAAAAGTTAAATACACAAATTTATATAAATCAATAGGAGGCTGGAGAGACATTATGATATAGCCACGAATTAGAAAATTGTGCAGCCATTAAAAAAGACAGCAGATGATTTTATAAATGTGTTACTTTGAAAAGACCTCCAAGATTTCCTGAGTGGCAAAAAACAAGTGGCACATATAAATGCACACTTGTATTTGGGGAGAAAAAAACATCATCACCACCATAATTTGGTTAACGCATATAATTTTAAGAAGTCACCTCTAGAAAGTCAAATGTAGAGTACCAGTGTTAGGTAGGAGCTGGGATGATAAAGTGGGACAAAAACTTTCACTTTTTATCTTATACTTTTTGACACTTCTTTTAAAACCATGTGCATATATTTCTTTTAAAACTAATGAAGAAATTGCCTTTGACTGCCCTTGAGTTGATCTGTGTTTACCGATAGGGAAAGATAAGGCGAAGGGACCCTCGGGCCCCTGCACTCCCAGACCACTCCTGGCAGTCTCCGCCCCGTGCCACTGCTTCCAGGAGTCTAGCCGGTGAGACTGAACTGAGCAGACAGCCCGCCAGCCCCTCTGAGCCTCCTACAGGTCTGCCCGCAGCGGTGCAGGCAGAGGGCGTGAACGGTGCAGCCAAGGGGCGCCAACGCTCCCCTCCCACCGTCCCTCCGGGGTGTGGGGAAGGGGACAGCAGGTGCGCTGGACTGCACTTGCCTCGCTGTGGCCGTGACTCGGGTGAAACGCTGAGACGCTGTGCACTCCTGCCGCACATGTGCTACGCTGCGCTTTCCAGCAAGACTGTTAACGTCATCTCTGCCTTATGCCTGACTTTCAATCAATTCTGAACCAATTTGGAGAAGAGGGTAGGGAGAGCCCTAAATCTCAACAGCCTCTACGCAGTATAGTATGGACAGTATACCATCACTAATGCTAAACAGGAAAAAATATGGCTATAAACATATACATTGCATAAAAATGTCAGAAGGAACCAACACTAAACCCCACACTGGGGGAAAGCAGTGGGGTTGGGAGGCATGAAGAACGACTGTCACTTTCCATCACATTTACTTTAATGCTAGTCAATATTCTCCAACCAAGCATTGCTATGGCCTGAATGTGTGCCCTTCCCAAATTCAAATTGTGAAATCTCATCTCCAATGTGTTGGTATTAAGAAGTAGGGCCTTTGGGAGTGGACTAGGTCTTGAGGCCCCTGTGAATGGAAGTGGCCTCATGAAAGAGGCCTGCAGGAGCCACGTGGCCCTTCTACCATGTGAGGACGCAGCTAGATGCGCCATCAGTGGGTAAAAGACCTTGGCCAGACACAAGATCTTGCTGGTGCCTAGACTTCTCAGGCTCCAGAACCACGAGCAACACATTTCCACTGTTTTCAATGTTATGGAACAGTTTCAGTAGGATAGGTTCCAGTTCTTTGTTGTAGGTCTGGTAGAATTTGGCTATGAATGCACCTGGTCCTGGGCTTTTTTCGTTGTTGTTGGAAGGATTGTTATTGCTGATTCAATCTTACTACCTGTTACTGGTCTATCTGTTCAGGATTTCTATTTCTTCAGGCTTGGGAGGTTACATGTTTCCAAAAATTTATCCATCGTCTCTAGATTTTTTTTGTTGGTGTGCATACAGATGTTCACAGTAGTCACAGGTGACCTTTTGTGAATCCTCCCTAACACACTCTATGAAGCCAGTATCCTGATACCAAAGCCAGGAAAGGATACCACAAAAAAAGAAAGCAACAGACCAATATCTCTCATGAACACAGATGTAAAAATCCTCAACAAAATACTAACAAACCGAATCCAACAAAAAAATAATTCACCACAATCAAGTGAGTTTCATCCCAGGGATGCAAGGATGGTTCAACATATGCAAATCAATAAATGTGATTCACCACATAAACAGAATTAAAAACAAAAAAGGTATGATCATCTCAAAAGATGCAGAAAAACCATTCGATAAAATTCAGTAGCCCTTCATGATAAAAACACTTAACAAACTAGGCATAGAAGGGACATACCCTAAAATAATAAAAGCCATATAACGACAGACCCACAGCCAACACCACACTGAATGGGGAAAAGGTGAAAGCATTCCCTCTAAGAACTGGAACAAGACAAGGATGTCTACTTTCTCCACTTCTTTCCAACATAGCACTGGAAGTCCCAGCCATTTAACATTTATGGAATACTTTTCAAACTGCATTACTGTTGCACCTTTTTAGTATAAACTAAAATACTTTAGCAGAGAAATAAATGATATCTTGAAAACATTAGAGAAAATCCCTAGCCCCTTTGAAGGGGTTAAAGTACTCTATCATAAACTAGAGCCCCAGAAAAGATTTCCTACTGGGAAGGAGCTGTAACACGCTGCCTTCACTACACTCTGAAAAACAACCTCAACCAAGTCACAACTTGCTAATGGAGTGTATCATTACATAACAAAACAGAGCATTCGTGCGTGACTTGATTTTTCTTGCACAGTTTCATATTAAGAAGTTTACTTAAAACTAAACTGTGTTAGATGTACAGATACCTGTTTGGTGATCGTCTTGGCCAACGTCTTCTGTTAGATTCTGCAAGAAATATGTTCATTGTTACCAAGGAAACACATGCCATACATCAAGTTTTAAAATTCAGCATTCTCATAAGCAACTGGTATCTTCATATCTAATTTGTTAAATCTAAATTTTTAGCAAATACAGTTACACAAAATGACTACTTCAAATAGTTGGTAATTTTTGTCTTTAAAAGATTGACTTACTAGCTTATTAAGGGTGTGATAGATCTTATGAATATTTGCCAGTGTTGAGAGATGAGAGTTCAGCTGAAAGTCTTGGAAAGAAAAAGGAGAAAATTCAGTGTCATTTATTTCCAGTACTGCAAAAAGACAAAAAAAAAAAAAAAGTTCAGAAGTGAACATAAATGTTTAGACACAATTGAATAATACCTCAATTAACTTGATACTTACTAAATAAAAAACAACATGCAATTACTGACCTATCTCCTAGAAATAAAGTCAGACAATAAAGTTAAATTCCCATCCCAATGTTAAAAGTTCATGAAATTTTCATGTGAACTCCAAGGTAAAACAAATAATCCAGTAGTTGTAAAAGCCTGCCAGCAGTGAACTTGAACTTAATAGAAAAATATCAATAATGCTAGCAAATTAAACAAATCACACGAGTAGAAGGCAGGTCTCCAATGTAACATGTCCACTTTTCCCTCCCCTTCTCCAGAATTATTGGTACAATAAAGCAAGTTCGTGGCAAGAAAATGATAGAAAAGCATCCCAAGGTTTAGTACTTGACAATGTATTTGTCACTTATGCAACAGAGAAAACTAAAAAACACTAAGCCCCTCCCCTCTCCCGTTAAACAAACAAACAAATCAAAGAACTATCCTATCTTGCAACCTCCAAGTCTGAGATGCCAGAGCCCAACCATACAGCTGACAGAGCTCCGAGCAAACACTGCACTACTAAACGGTGCCACAGCACCAGAGGCAGAAGCAGAAATCACACTCCTGAAGAAACACCACCACACCAACGAGCGAATCCACACACCAGCCCTAATCACTCCAGAATCACACACTGAGTCATAGACAGAAGACAAATGAGGCTCCTCCATTTTTGCATCCTGCACGATATAAAACTGAAGTTAACCTGGTACGCTTTGAATCTCTAATTTTAAATGTTTTTTATACAGTTTATGCTTGCATAATATTGGGCTATACAAATCCAAGTTGAAAGTTTATGAGTAATTTCACATCTGAATAAACATCAATAGAAGTATTTTCATAACATACATTACATTCGTTGTTTAACAACGATTACATTCGTTGTTTTTTTTTTCTTTCCTATCATAAAGCAAAGCTTAGGATGAGCAGAACCCTGAAAAGATACTGTAACTCTCCAACTTATGCTGTTCAGATTTAAAAAAAAAAAAAAAAGGAAGAGGAGGAGGAGGAGGGGAAAAAAAGCACCCTTCACTAGAAGGTTTTATTTGGGACATGTATCAGATCCAAAGAACAGACCCAAAGAGCAGGGGCTACAAGGGAAGTTGTACCGCTGGGGCTGGCCCCTCTGGGCAGCTACTCTGAATCCTGAAAGCAAGCTGACCTTGCCCACACTTAGACAGCTTTACTGCAGCCTCTCAAGCTAGCTGGCAATCCAGCCCTGGGCAGGCCCGCAGGGCCAGAGGGGTGGGCAGGAGCAGAGCCCCTGATATTCACATGCCACCATGGGGAGCAGCAGGCCACACCTGCACATGTGCACACGCTCTGCGTGTGGCAGCCAGTGGTCTCAAACCACAGCCACAGCCATCTAGAATGGCCCAAAGAACCAGCATTTCTGGCCGAGACACAGCCAGAGCAGGGCCTCCGGTTTAGACACACGTTACTGGGTTTGCATCTGAACAGTGTGGCCAAGCTTAAGGTCCATGATGGCACAGTGTGGCTCAGAACCTGGATTTTCCATCTTAATTCATTCAGTTGCACAGAAAAGGCTTAAAAAAGCATCTGGGGCATGTGAGTGTATGTATGTGTATTGTGTGCTTATTTACTTGTGTTCACATTTAATAAACATGGATGGGGGGTCTAAAACCAGACCCCTCTCAGGACCAGCCAGAGGCTGTGAGGAGCCTCAACATCCAACTCTCGCACCTCCATCCTTCTACCAGCGAGCCAGAACTCCCTTTTTTTACTCTCTTAACCTAAAAATAGGAAGATGAATGATACATTCCATTCTCACCTTGAAATATAAGTTTAACTCCTGCCCCCCCCCCCAAGAAAAACCAAAACACACACTGAGAACACTTTAAGCTCTCGATTCTCTTCTCAGGGAGGCGACACAGAATGGGAGAGTAAGAGGCTGGCCAAACGTCACTCAGGCAGAGAGGTCTCTCCTACACCCCCACGCTACGCTTTCGTCATTTCGCCACCCTGCTGATTCAACTGCCAAAATCCACACGAGAGAATCTAAATGAAATGAAACTGATCAATCTTTCTCCTCCTTTATATGAATACAGAAGTAGTAGAAAAGATTAAAAAAAAACACAAGTTGTTCTCAAGTTGAAATGGGCTGGGCCCAAACCAAACTTCTTTCACCAGCCCGTTCTGCAAAACCCTTCTTCCCCTCCCAACACTCTTCCTGCTGCTCTCCCTACTCCAAGTGGAATCCAAGTGTGCACGTGCACGCGCACACGCACGCACGCGCACACACACACACACACACACACAGAGTCCCTGTCAAAAATCCCACTCTGCTTCACAACCTGGCTCTGGAATCTAACAGCTGGTTCAAAGTTCAGGCCTGCCAGTTATTTAACCTGAATCTCAGCTTCCTCATCTGTAAAATAAGGATAAGAAATTCTCATTCATAATGTTCTTGTAAGGCTGAAAACAGGATCCAATGCCCGGAGGTGCCAGACACCCATGACAACGCCTGGAGCGCACGTGCCCAGGACATGACATGCTCGAGGAAGGACATCAGTTCCCACTACACTCGCTTATGCCATTCTCCGTGCCACAGGGCCATTTAAAACAGTCTCTCACTCTCCCTGGGTCCCACTCTAGCTCCACATCAAAGACCCCAAAGTCAGAGCTCCCTCTGCCATCGAGGCATGTGGCCTGGCACACCTGTACAGCCCGTGGTGGCACTGCTATGTTCCTATGCTACGAAGTGATGTTCATAATGATTGCAGGTAATCTCAACACACTGAGAAAAAATACAGGTGTGTTTAAGACCAGAGACTATATATGAGGTTTCACTTTACTAAATGCAGCGAGAAAAAAAGGGTCCATTTCACAAATCACGTGTCAGAAATTATCCATTTCTATGTCCGAGCCCTACCGCCACACCATTGCTTCACCCAAAAAGAGGAAAAAGAAAGCTATGAAACCAGTAGCAGGAATAATTTCTCTTTCGTTTCACCAATGTAAGAAATTAAGGAGAAGACATGAACTGGAGCAGGGGGAGGGAGAGACAAAAATGGCATTAAAAGATAAATTCACAAAGGTTAACATATATTGGATTTACGGTTAATCTGTTCAGTGCTAACGGCAAGTAATAGACCTTGAAATCGAAAATAGATTTCACATCCTTAAGGCACAGATGTTAAGGGTAAAGATCAAATGCTTTACCAAGAACGTATTTCGGAAAGCACTAACTGATTCATAAAAATCTCCTCCTGCTCGTATTTCAATTCCAAAGGATAAATGCTAGGTTAAGTCGGCGGCATTCCACGATCAAATGGCTCTCCACAGTAAAGTGGTGATGGAGTTTGACTCTCCTGTGTGACATGGAAACTATATTCTGTATTAAAAGCACCACTCAGCTCTGCAACAAGGCACAGTCTGCTTAATAAAAGGCCCGCCTAAATTATCTTCTGGATATCCCTAAAACTATCGACAAATGCTGACTGGGCACAAACTTGCCTGGGGTTTTTTGTTTAACTACTATTTGTTATGACCTATGCAATATGACAGAAAAAAGTGAACGCACAACCCTAGGTATAGAACCCCAAATCATAGGCAGAGACATCAATAGTAGGGATGAAAAAACTACTGGTAAGTTCAGACAATGACTTTCAACCAAAAGAATCAAATTTAAAAGTTAACAGCCCTACCAGTTTACTCTCCTAATAGGGTCAAAAACAGAATTTGAATTCATAAAAAGCAAAAGCTTTCTTTTATACCATCAATTTTTAGTCACCTGTAAAATATAACTGGGAGAAGACTTCAACTATAACAGCAATAAAAAGCAATAATACCTGTAAGAATAAACTTCATTACGTAAGATATAAAAGACATATATATAGAACATTATATTTGGGGGATGGAAAGACCCACCATTGTAAAGCAATCACTTCTCCCCTCACTAAACTACAAAAAAATGCAATCAAATTCTCATTTTGCCTGTCCCCCAGTTCTCTATCCCAAAAGAAAGGTAGGGAAAAGGAAGGAAGTCAGGCAAGCTTGGCAGATTATGCTAAAGTTCATCTGGAAGAATAAATGTGCTAGACTTGCCAAGAAACTATTGAAGAAGAATGAGGAAGAACTTGCTCTATCAGATATCAACACACAGTACAAAGAAGATGGTAAACTTTGTGAAGGGGACGGACTATAAATATTTCTAGCTTTCTGGGCCCTACAATCTCTGTTGCAATCACACTGCCATTGTAGCTCCAAAGCAGCCACAAGCAATACATAAATAAATGTGGCTGCTTTCCAATAAAGCCTTATTTATAAAAACTAAATTTTTTGGCTGGGCGTGGTGGCTCACACCTGTAATCCTAGCACTCTGGGAGTCCAAGGTGGGAGGATCATTTGCGCTCAGGAGTTCGAGACCAGTCTGAGCAAGAGCAAGACCACCGTCTCTACTAAAAATAGATAGAAATTAATTGGCCAACTAAAAAAAATAGAGAGAAAAAATTAGCCAGGCATGGTGGTGCATGCCTGTAGTCCCAGCTACTTGGGAAGCTGAGGCAGGAGGATCGCTTGAGCCCAGGAGTTGGAGGCTGCTGTGAGCTAGGCTGATGCTAACGGCACTCTAGCCCAGGCAACACAGCGAGACTCTGTCTCACAAATGAATTTTAAAAGATTTAAAAAAAAAAAAAAACCAACTAAATATGGTATAGTAGGGGGCTAGATTTGGCCCATAAGCCACAGCCTGAGAAGGCCAGGTGTATAAAGGCACAGCAACTTAACACTAAGGTATGTGTGCAAGAAGATAAATCAATGACAGCATAAACATGTATCTATGTATAAATACACAGCATAACATGACAAGATGGCATTTCAAACCAACAGAGAAGGAATGATTCAGTAAATAGAGGCACAACTAACTAGCATGTGGAACAAATAAGTCCAACCTCACCCCA